GTAAATGTGCGTGATCTCGAGCGAAGCAAACATATAGAAATTATAGTTTTGGCTATTTGTTGACGTTTGTCAGCGTTTAGGAGTCCTTGTCACGAAAAAAGCATTTTCTTAAAAATTCGCAGTTTTTTTTCCTTCAAAATTTTTCACAGCCACAGTTGATTAACTAACCACCTGGACTCTGAATTTCATGGTCATTGAAAAACTGTGACATCATCTTCTATAAGCCCAAACTTGAGTAAACATTGAAGATTTTTAGCGTTTTGGTTGAGTTTGTGCTTTGGGAGTTGTCTGTTGTTTCTACTGTCATGATGCAGCATTCTTGTTCAGCACGCGTGCAATGACCACGCTGTTCCCTTTTTTTCAATGATGATTTTATTAATACTATGACTTTCTTGATTACTGCCAAAAACGAAAAAATTTCTCTGTTTACCGAGATTGGTGATTGGTGGGATAACTTGAAAATTCAGTTCTGTCATACGTATAAATTTTTCTTCTCGGAAACGTAAGAAACTCCTTTCTGAATGCAATTCTTTAACTAAACGCTTACTTAGAGCTAAATCGGCTGTTTTTGCTAGCAATCGCGACCAGATTTCTAATGTAAACAAACTTGAGAGTGCCTTAGAAGCAGTCATTAACAGTGAGTGTGAGGGCGAAAAAATTTGCTCCCGAGCGCGGTGGATCAAGGAGGGCAAGAAGCCCACTCGTTTTTTTTTTTTTCCCCTCGAGCTTAACGCGCTGTGAAGGATATTTTTGAGTCCTGTTTCAATGAATCTGGCGAGGAAAAATGTTCGCATAATGTCATTGAGCTTATTTTAGTTGACTTTTACAAAGCGCTATTCTCTAAGATTCCCTTAACATGCAAATTCAGACCGAAATTATAGATGATCTTGACCTTTCTTTGTCTGATGCAGAACAAGAACAATGCGAGGGATTATTCACAAAAGGTGAGCTGTTTACCGCTTTGAAAGGCCTTGAGAATGGTAAATCACCTGGCTCTGATGGCCTTCCTATCGAATTTTATTCGGCTTTCTGGGATTTGCTGGGCAATCCTTTGCTTTCTGTTTTAAATGACTGCTTTTGGGTTGGCTGGCTTTGTGCAAGTCAACGGGAGGCCCTCTTCCGCCTTATTTACGAGAAGGATGATAAGCGTTTAGGTGAGAATTGGCGGCCCATCTAGCTTCTCAATTGTGATTATAAATTAGCTTTGAAAATAATTACTGATCGTCTGAAACAAGTTATGCCCTCAATCGTTCATTCTGATCAAACTTGTAGCGTAGTTGGTAGATCAATTTTTTCCAACTTACATTTGATCCGCGATACCCTAGATATGATAAATAAAACAGACAAGACCGGGATTTTAGTCACGCTTGACCAGATAAAAGCTTTCGATAGAGTTGATCCGATTTCCTCATGAAAGTGTTAGCTAAGTTTTGGTTCGGTCCGTCTTTCTGTTGCTGGGTTTGTTTTTTTTATTCGAATGTCTTTTCACAGATCATTTTTAACGGTAAACTTTCTGCTCCTGTTTTCTTAGAGAGGGGGGTTAGACAGGGGTGTCCTCTCCCCCCTTCTCTATGTCCTAACCTCTGAGGTCTTAGCAAACCAAATTCATAAAAACTCTGCGATCGAAGGCTTCCTACTCCCTGGAACAGGTGGCCTTCAATTTAAAATATCACAGTAGGCTGATGATGCTACAAATTTTGTAAAGAACGAGAGCTCTGTCACCTCTACAGACTGTGAACAAGTACGAGAGGGGGTCTGGGGCCAAGCTCAACACCACCAAGTCCGAAGCGGTGTGGCTTGGTACGTGGAGAGCTAACGGCGCCTCCCCCTTTGGCCTACAATGGCTTAACAAACTTAAGATTTTAGGAGTTTATGTTTCGAATGGATTAGTTAATGTTGATGAAGATAATTGGCGTTGCAAATTAGAGAAGTTGAAAAAGACTTAAGGGCTATGGTCGCAAAGAGATCTTTCCCTCTTAGATAGAGGTATGATTTTAAATGTTCTTGGGGCTAGTAGGTTTTGGCATGTTGCCAAAGTCCTACTACCCCCAAGATGGGTCTCCATTGAATACAAACGAGCTGTTTGGCCTTTCATTTGGAAATCTAAATCGGGAACTGTAAGTAGGAAACATTGTGTGGCCCCCATCACGCGTGGCGGTCTGAATATTGGTGATTTTGAGACTAAGTGCTCAAGTTTGTGTCTGTCGAGTCTTTCCGAGTATCAGGAGAGATTCAGCACATGCAAATGGCATTATCTGGTTCGTTTTTTTTTCGGTAATCGCTTTTCTAATCTTGATCATAGTTTTGATTTTTCTTCTCCCTCAATTCCGTTATCTTCTGAGCCGTCTGCTTTTTACTGTAATTGTTTATTCCTGTTAAGTTCCCTATGCGGTAAACACTTCTTTTTTCCGGACGTTTTTTCCTGTAAAAACTTATATAATCTTCTTCTTGAGCTTCAGAGCGCATTCCTCCGGTTTCTGGGCTGCCTCACTTAAGAGGCCAATTAACCCCTTGGCCGCGGTTTGACGCAAGTCTCGTCTTAAGTTAAGTGAGAATAAGAAAACTGATTTGCTTTGGCTTATTATTCACCACGCTATTAAAGTTCGATATGCCTTGAAGACTTGTGGATGCAAGATCAAATCTGAAAAGTGTGCTTTGTGTTCCCAAGTCAAAACAATTGAACATTGTTTTCTTTTTTGCCCTCGCGTACATGATGTTTGGAATTATTTTAGCCCTATCTGTTGCGTCTTTCTAATTCCCCTTTTTCTGTTAACTCTGCCTCTGTTTTCTTCTCTTTCTTGTCTCACGCCTCTTTGCCTTCTTTCTTGCTCTACTGTTACCTGATCGCTACGATATTATTTTGGATTTGGCAATGCAGAAACCTTGCAACTTTTCGAAATTCTGTTGTAACTGCTAAGCAGATTATCAACCTGATTAAGAAAGATGTTTCCTGTCCTATTCTATGTGCCAAGTGAGACGAAAAAGACAATTTCTCGTTGTAAAGTAATATCCTTTGTACAATCTCCAATGATCACTCTATTGCCTTTTTTCCTCGCTGTACATAGGCCTTTTTGTATACAGCCGCTTTTAATTTTAGTTTGCTCTAGCTATCACAGGAAAAAATTAGAGATACCAAAGTGGAACATCATTGGTAATCTGAACCCCAATGTTGGACCATTATTGGGATTTCTCTAAATGACCAATAAAATACCAAGAACACACCAACACGTTTTGTTTAAGGCTACTAACCTTGGGATGTATTTGGCATTTCACTGGACATTTTAAGGACTGATATACCAATGTTGGAGAATTATTATAGGAATGTAATGATTCCAGTAATATACCAAGATCATACCAATGTAAAATCTTTAAGAGTACCAACCTTGCAATATATCTGGCGTTTTATTGGAAGTGCTAAGTAGTGATATACCAGTGTTGGGGAATTATTGGTATAGGAATGAAATGATTCCAGTAAAATACCAAGAACATATTAATGCAAAATTTTAAAGTGTACCAACTTTGGGATATATTTGGCATTTTACTGGAACTAATTAGTTGTGGCATACCAATATTTGGAAATTTATTGTTAATTCTATTAAATGATTGCAGTAAAAATACCAATAACATACCCTCGTTACAGCCAGGCAACTTTGTTTTGGGTTATTACAGGCACATTATTTATTTGCTAAAATAAGAAAACTCAGTCACTTTCTTTTACTGAAGATCATGATGGTAGAACAATTTATAATTAGTTACAGTTTTCAATTTCGTCGCTCTGTCCATCAATGAAGTCTTCCTCCAACAGAACATCGTCATCCTCATTTGCTAACACGCTGTCATCACCGAGAAGTAATGGTTCGGCGTCGGAGAGATTTCCGCATCTATTTGCCACTAACTGTGAATATGGCGCTAAAAAACTTGCAGTTGTAACTTCCTCGTAATAACCCTCACGATCAACGTGAGGGGCTATTTCATGCACAGCTTTTTGTACGTCCAAGTTCTTTTGGTCAGCATTCAACGTTCTGTTCTTTTCGTGATGCCTCCAACCTGTCATGAGGGACACAACTCTACCGTTAGAAACAATGCAAGGGCAGTGAAAATGAGGCCGATTCAGCTCATCTCCTTCTAAGCATCTGCATCAGTGAAAGAGATAATTGCTATCTCCTGAGTCAACCATCTTTAAAAAAACCAATGCGCGGGAGAGACTGGAGACTGGTGTGCAGTTACATCATTGTATGACGTATTTTAGCGCCACTTTTCAATCAAGCCTCGATATGCTGTGGAACAGTTTTTGGGTTGCAAGATGGCGGAGAGACGGATGGAGCGTGAAGACAGTGAAATGTCTGATTTTGCCAATTCTTCACAAGCCTCTGGACATAACCAGGATGTTGAAACGATTGATGAGTTTAGTGACAAAGTTGTGGAAGGTAAGTTACTAAAATTTAGCTTGCCCAACAAATTAGAATTGTTATTTTTAATAGACATCTAATGCAATCTAGTTTCGGCGGGAAAATAGGACTATGATCTGCAGCACCTCTGTAGCGATTTTCATCATTTATTCGGAACACTTCAACAGGTTCTTGCTTCTGAAGGCCACTTATTTAGTTTCGACCAAAATTAAAAACGGCCAAAACAGTCATTTGAATGATTTGATTTTTCTCTAGCAGAAGTGAACTGCCGCCCCATGTATAGATCATGCTTGTCAGCGAATTCGATGAATTGGGTCAGTCTTTCAATTTCTCGTTTGTTTTATAGACTGGACAGCAGAAGACGTAAAATGATGGCTCTGTCTTAAAGGGTTTCAAGAAGAAGCCCCGTTATTTTTGGGTAAGCTTATAAAGCTTAATTTATCTACTGCGCCATGCCTTTTGGAACAATTACGTTTACTGAGTACAAAAGCTTGCCCAGAGGTTGCATGTTGCACGCCGATCCTCCTTCAAAACATGTTTTAATTGAGCGTGACAGCCGGTATTTTACACACACTCTTTAATTATCTTGTTGCAGTGGAGGATATCAATGGGAAAGTTCTGGGAGAACTAAACCGGGAGACAGTAAAAGAACTTGGAGTGAAACAAATTGGAAGGCAACTGGCGCTCCTGAAAATGATTAAAAGTTTATTTGGTAAGGGTTATATTAACTAGAGGCAGCTGATTTTGAATTAAAAGACTGAAAATTGTTAACCCGCATTATATGTTTATGATTAACGCTATATGTTAGTTTTATGCAGTGACAACAGCTTTGCAAAACTGTTTTACTCTGCATTGAAAACAACTAAGGGACCGGTCAAAAAGTATAGGGGGTGGGGCTGGTTATGTAATATGCCAAAACGAGGGGGTAAGCCATTTATTTTTTAGCTCTAACATTTCCCATTGCTCCAGCTCACCCCCTCTGGTACCTTTTGTCCAGTCCCTAAACCTCAAGGATTTGACCGATTAAGAAGTCTTTACATTATCATTAGAAGGACACATGAGTCTTCTTAAGCGTTCCTACCCCTTATATTATTTGATGTTATTATAAATTCCAGAGAGAGAAAGAACACAAGAACAGCAAGCCAGTTCATTAAGCCCTTCTGCAGTTATGAAGGAAAAAATCACACTAAAAGACAAAGCAACATGGACAGCAGCACAGAAAACAAGCTACAACATAAAGTAAGCATTCCATTGTATTAGGTTTTTGTAATACGCTTGGTTCCATAAGAATCGAGACATGGAGAAGTGAGCTTTCATGATTCATAAAGAAGAAAGTTATATGTCCAAAAATATTGTACTAATCATTTTCACTGAAGATTATTTTGATGACTGATACTAAAGAGTAACAGTGTAATTTTGGCTTTGTTCAACGTGGTAATCAAAATGAGGGTCTCTTTTTGTAATATTTTGGAACTGCTATTGCAATTAGGGAACCGAAAAAGTTGAGGCCAGAAAATAAAAAGATATATTTAAAGACAAGTGAACGAAAAAAGCCACAACTGGAGGAGCTTTGCACCAAATTGGCTCAGTACTGTGCTATTCCAGAAATTGGATTTGGATATGGTAAGTGTAGATTATTGCTTGTGAGGTGACAGCTCAGAGGGGTTTTGAGATTGACTTTTGTTATGACTAAAATGAAAATTAAGGGTGAAAGAAAGTAACTGAAGAAGGTTGACTATCTTGGCAAAAATGAGCTCTTCTAGCTTCTAAAAAGGACTGCTTCCCTCCAAGGCTATAATGCAGCTGACTACCTCAGATACCACATGTGAATATCTAGTAAAAGGACACTGGTTCCACATCCTGTTACTCAAAGTATAATTTACATAATAAGGTTTGTTGTCAGCTGAATGATCATTAGAAAGTTTTGACAATTATTGTTTTACTTACATAATAAATTATTATAACATCGAGTTTTCGATATGTTGTACCTTTCAGATGCTATTCACACACATAATACGGTGGGCCCAGGAAAAAAATTGGAGAATTACAAATGGCGATAACTATGAGGTAAATTATTAATTCTTGCATTTCATTGTTGTCAATACCAGTTAGAACATAGTGTATTTACACTAACAGGCTGAGTTTTGGGTGAGAATACAGTTTTAAATTTTGATATCTTAATCAATCTCGACAAATTCTCAACAAAGTTTTGTAATGTCACACCTTACAACTCTATTAACTTGTCAAGGTGGTTCAATAAAAAAAGGATAAGGATTTGGTCAGAATTGAAAAGTGTTTTTCCTGTGTATTTTGTCTTTCTCAGACTGCTAAAGCTTTGAACAGAATTTGTCAATAACATAGGACATATCTCTCACCTTATCTCTTTACTCATAAGAATTATTTTTAGTTAAGGTAAAAAATATTTGGCGCATTGATCTGGCCTGGGGGCACTGTCATATGTCATTTTTTGTTTCCCCAACAGGTATTACTAGGAATTATGCCAAAAATATTAAACCATCATGTTGAGTTGGTATATTGTCTCCTTGAGAGATCAAATAAAACTTGAGCCATTAATTCCAGATCAGAGTGTTTTCCCTTAGAAGATTAATAACTTTTCATGTATTAGTTTTTAATGAGCCTTTTTGTCCCTGTCATATGCAAGTGTCGTCAACCGCTTTGGGAATACAAGGCATTTTGTTTAACTTAGTTTATGCCGTCTCTTTGTAGAGTGACCACAAACCTGCCAAACGGGCAAGAATTTCTCCCAAAACATCTTTTTTGAGTCAGAACATGTCAACTTCTGGTAAGTTTTACAAATGCAAAAGTAACAGCTTTGTCCAAATAAGTATTTTGTTTTTAATGAAATTAAAAGAAATTAACCCTTTCACCCCAAGACCAAGTTATTGTCAGGGTCTATTCAGCCAGCCTATTATAAATATGCCACATACATACTAAATAGTCTTTTATGTGGTTGTCAGTGTTTTATTAAGTTAGAGATGCAGATGAGTTAAACAGCCAGCTTATCATTTTCTTTTTTATAAGTTCGTTGCCTATAAAATGTCATCAGTATTGAAACAAATGTTGTGTATTTGCAGATTCTGACACTGAGGAAATTTCAGATTCTCAGACCAGTACAGATGAGCCCTCATCTTCAGTGGCAGACATTAGTCCAAAAAGTGCAAAAATTGCAGTGGTGACAGCATTTCAAGGCAACTGTTTGCAAGACTTGACCTTGAAGGCTCACATAATACTCCTGGCAAAAAAACTCGGTGTAAGACATCGTTCGAAGGGAAAATATGAGTTAATAGAGCCCCTAGCAAAGGAGCTATTCAATCAAGGTTACGTAAAGTCACAAGATGATGGAGATGTCAATTTTAAAAGTTAAAAAGAAACATGCTCAAGGTTTGCAAGCCTCCGTTTGATGAATATCCACTCTTAACATTGGATTCATCAGAAGACTCCTTTGGACCTGATGAAGATCAACAATAAAAACTAAACTGACTAAAAATAGTGCACAGTTTAGTTCACTAAGAAAAAGTTTATTTTTTGATATTAATCACATTGTTAGAAATGACAGTTTTAAATATTTATAAGTGATTATTACAGCTGTAATCCAGATGGACGTCTTAAACTACTAAAGAAATTTTTGTTTACTTTGTTGTGGCCACCTTTCTTTATTTGTATTTTGCAGGCATTTTATTGGGTCTAACATTGGTTGACAAGCATTAAGCCAATAATAACAACATAATTTATCCTTACACTCATATATTGGTAAATTCGAGCCCATTAATCTCTAGGGTTCCTTAGTTGGCCGTTTTATCTTCCAATTTTGATTTAGGAATTTTGTCTTCCTTGATGGCATCTCATAGAAACCATTGTTGGTATTTTCAGTTAAATACCAATGTTGGTACCTGATCTTCACCAGTATTGGTAGGTGATATTAGGCTTCCAATGTTGGTAAATAATAAAACCCATTGTTGGTATTTTCGGTTTACCAATTTTGGTAAATAGCTCTACCCATATTGGCATATGATCTAAGTTCTGATGTTGGTAGCCTTACTCCACTGTTGGTGTTTTACACTTGTACCAATGTTGGTACTTAGCCATACCAATATTGGTAACAGATATAAAGGTTCCGATGTTGGTAACTTTCCTTCCCAATGTTGGTGTAACAATTTTGCCTTCCAATGTTGGTAGACGATAAACCATCCCTAGTGTTTTCCATTTGTACCAATGTTGGTTTTTAGCTTTACCAACATTGGCATATGATATTAAAGTTCCAATGTTGGTACTTATATCACATTTCCAATGTTGGAACACTTCTTAAAGATACCAATAAAAAACCAGTAAAGTTCCAACAAAACCCCAACGTTTCACCAATGTTGGTATGTCTAATTTTTTCCTGTGATATTTTCTATTTTTTCATTGCCTTGTTGATTTGTTTTTTGCCCTGTACATAGATCTTTTTTGTATATAGCCACTTCAATTTTAGTTTGCACTCGTTTTCTGCTTTTGTATATTGCCGCTTAATTTGTTTCCCCTACAAACACTTATTTTCTTGCTGTATATAGCTGCTTAGTTTTGCCTATGGACACTTAGTTTCTCGCTGTACATAGATGCTTTGTATATAGCCGCACTTTCTTACTTAAGTGAATTTCTGTTAACCGATTTTTAATTACTTTTTTCCCTTTGTAAATAGTCAACTTAATTTTGTTTCCACTAGCTCCAGAAGACATTTGTATATAAGGATTAGTTGGTATTTCAATAAAACACCCCTATTAGGGGTTTTTATATTCTTAAAAAAAAATAATGATAAAGCAAAGTTATCCCGCATCACTGGAGTGAAAACAATTAACAGTCGTTATGACCACCCTCTTAAAAAGCAAGAAGTCATTCTGGTGGGTCTTGACAAACTGCAAGCCAGCGAGCCAGCGAGTCAGCGAGTCATGCGAGTCATGCGAGTCATCATGTGAGCCATGTTAGATCCCAGTCCATTTTCCTGTCTTCGGCTTTTGGCTATTTGGCACAAGTTTTCGCTATCCTCGCTCTCCTTTCAATATCATTTTGTTATCTGCCTTCATCTTTTTCATCTTTTGTTAAGGTAAGTTTTGTTTTGTTTTGTTGTTGTTAAATTTTGAGACTTGATCTTTTATTTATGTGTAGTCGCAAACGATTGAAGATTCATGCATATCATTTACATGGTATTACAGATTCGTGGCAAATTGACGTCTGCAAAGCCTCCTGGAGGCCAGTAAGCAGGGATTAACATTATGTTATGACCTGCCTGCTTCGAGAAATCTATGTTTTTATCGTTGTCTGTCAAAATTTGTCAATGTAAAAGAGGAAGACATCGTCCAAATGGTCCAAAGGCATTTGCTGTGCAATCAAATCGTAACATGCGCCAACGAGGTGAGATTTTTATCTTAACACGCTCGAAGATTTGAGCAAACCATTGAGTAACTTTATTTGGCTGCTGAGAAGTCTTTGAAATGTAACTCGATATGATAATTTAAAAAAAAATGGGAGTGAAAAAAGGTGAAGTCGGTCAAGGGTGCTTTATGCTGAAGGCTGATCCATGTGGAAGAAAACAAACAGATGGAAAAGGAAGTAGTGAAAATTTTTTGCTGGAGGTATACTTAAAGGAGCTGTGTCAAAAAATTTCCCAAAATTTAAACAGTGGAAACTACCACAAAATTGAGTGAAACACAAAATTAATGAAAGAAAGAAAGAAAGCATGGATCAACAAACTTGAAGAAGATTGAAATGGATCACAATAATATTGTCCTTTTTGAAAACTTGTTAGCCTAACAGTTTTCAAAGTTCATTTTTGTTGTTTGTAACAATAGATATAATGTTTGGAGGACATATGTGTTTGAGACGAAGCATTGATTTTGTTACTTACAAGTAATTTCCTCAATCAATTTAAGTTCTACTATGAATAAGGATGCGTAATGCATCAGTAAATTCCCCACCTCCCCCCCCCCCCCCCCCCCCCCGAGCACCACCGGCCCTTTTGCCATTTTGCAACGCCTCGCGGCCAGGGGACCCCCCCACCCCGGCGACCTCCCCGCGTTGTCCCGAGCCTTAACTCCACTATTGCAAAGGAGTCCGAATGCACCTGTCCAACCCCCCCCCCCCCCCCCCCCCCCCCCGCCAGGCTACTACGGGACATTTGCGAATTTTGCACTGCCTGGGGGCCAGGCATTCGCCAACCCCAGGGACATTCCCAAGATTTTGACACGGTTTCCTATCAGAATATAACTACACAGAAGGTTTTACTGGGAAAAACGCAGATTGGCTCATCTGTCAAAGACAGGAATAAATTGAAGAGGGTGGTAAAGCCATTTTCTCGATTTTATGCACGATTTCTTCATTGCTTCATTACACAGCAAAAACTGGAGCTATCAATGTGAATCAAAGTTTTTTGGTTAGTGAATGAAATTTCTGTTGATATTATTTGAAGAACATCTGTTCATTTTATAAAACTATTCATAACATATAAAGTTACAGTGCTCTATTAATTTTAATGCCAATAATTGTTCATCAATACTGGAAGCTGGAATTGACTGATGCATAATTGACAACATCATCAAAATAAACTTGGCATCCATGACACAGCCTTTTTAAGCTTAATTAAATTTCTAAAGCTATACAGCATACTTAATCATACAAGAATGGTGTGGAGTGGAAAATTAAGAAAGGGAGTGAACTGAAACAGTTTATCAGTCATATCTTTTATTGCCATACCCTTTAACATGATATGTATATGCTTTATTGTTTGTTATGCAGGATGGAACATCAGAAACACAGGACCTGATGCAGTTCCTTTCTGATACAGACTATCCTTCTCTGGGAAATCGGCCCGGGGGGGCACTTGGGTATTTTTGGGGTGGGTATGTGCTGCACAGGACTCCAAATTGGCACCCCGTTCTAAAACAAAATTCCCCTAAAATTGATACCCCGTTCTAGAAATAGGCCAATTTTTTATACCCCATTCTAGAATTCGCCCTAAAACTGATGCCCCGTTCTAGAAATGGGCCAATTTTTTGTACTCCGGTCTAGAATGTTTGTAAATTGAAATATAGCCCTGTTTTTTAAAAAGATATTTCTTTATTTGTTCGACTTTTACATCAAATAAATGCTTCTTCATAATCAGCAACAATTTTAAGTAGAAGATAAAGCTGTGATCCACAATTTTTTACACCCCGTTTTAGAAAACGCCTCCGAAATGGATACTCCTTTCTAAATCAGGAGCTTCATAATCACGACCCCGTTGGGTGGCACATACCCGTATAGGTAATGTATGGGAGTACCCCCCCCCCCCGGGGAAATCGGCCAAGCACATGAAGAGAATGTGTCTTGGCCTTGAAGGATGAAATGGCGACTCATGTTTTCATCAGAGCAGCAGCAACACTGCTTTCTCTTAATATGTCAATATCATAGACTGGAATGGTGTAAGTTATCTGGCATATTTACTACTCAAGTCAATGCTTAAGACATTGAATAATCATGCACATGTTAGTATGTATGTTGTATGCGTTTGTTATTCTTAACCCTGTCACCTGTAGTTAGCCATGACCTGTTCACTTCGGTTCAAGGTTTTGCCGTAAAGCAACCAAACATATTTTCAGATCACTCTCAAATTGTCTGCTGGATCAAAACTGGTACAGACCTCTCAAATAATAATAATAGTTTTCAAGAGAAAAACAACGTTCAGCTTCCACAACAGTATGTCTGGGCAGCAAAATTCACTGCTGCCTTTCGTTCCAATGATATTGTCTTTATTACATCTCTTCGAAAGTACAAACTTCGATTTAAGCAGTACAAATGTTCAAAATACTACCAATCAATTCACAAATATTATGACTGAGGCAGCAAAACGTTCACTCAAATTAAGTAGCCAAAAGAAATCTAAAAGAAAGCCAATTACTACGAAATGGTTTGATTATGATTGCAAAACTTTAAGATCTTCACTTAAAAAGTTATCTAACAAAAAACACCGCAATCCTCTGGATACCGAACTCAGAAAAGAATATCATGTTCAAAATAAAACCTTTCACACCAAAAAAAACAACAATTTGTTGACTCTAAAGTAAATGAGCTGATTAGTAACGAAAATAACCGCAAATTTTGGGATACTCTAAAGTCAATGAACGAAAACAACTTGTCTTATGCTTATTTCGAGCGAACTCGAACTCCATTAACTAGCTTCATCCATTCCTTCCGGTTTTCCATGATGTTCTTCAGTTCAGCTATGCTCAAACCAGTATCATTTTGCAGCTGGTCTACGTATGTTAATGCTGGTCTTCCTCTCTTTCTTGCGCCGTGCTTTGGTTCCCAGAGTAGTAAATCACTTATCACCTCATCCTTTTTTCTCCAACAGTG